TATATATATATATATATAATTTATTGTACATGATAAGTTTTTATTTCATAAAACTTAATTTGAATTGTGATATTATTTATTTATTAATTAAAAAATATTTTAAAATTTAGTGACAAATAAAAGATGGTATATCGAAGGAGATATGTCATTTAAAAAAATCTACATATATAAGATAAAAAAACATTTTAATTTAAAATGAATAATTAAGGGATTTTTTTTTATTAATTGCAGAGATACCATGATAAATGCAACTATATATAATAAAAAAAAATTAAAATTTCTAATCGAGAAAGTGAAGAGAATAACAGTAATCTTTTTTGTGAGGGTAATATTCGTATTATAAATGCTTTTTTTTTGTTGTTGCTATATTTCAAATTATAAAAAATATAATTATACATGTATATTATATTAAGTAAAATTAAAAAGTTAGTGGGCAATTGTCCCCACACTTATATAATGGATCCGTCAATGGTTTTCACCAAACCAAAAAGTCAAACTTTGTTTATTTCGAAACCACATTCAGCATGTATGAAATTAAATGATATCTGCAGCAATGGAATACTTCCATTTTTCAATTGTATGACAATAATATCCTAAGGTCACGTCAACTCACTAAAGTAAGCTTGAAGGATGCACTCTCACGTTCCATGTTTAAGTTTAATTAAAAAAAAAATAAGTACTAATCCAAGATTCAAACTTACCGATGCAATACGTTTCCTTGATGACTAGAAAAACCTGTTTTACATTATCTTTAGCTAAACTAACAGAATTAACTTTGCACGAACAAGTAATTGTGTTTACCCTTTATTTTGTCTTAAAACTTTATTGTAGATAACAAGATCAAATACAAAAACAGATATGGAATAATACTACTTCCTAATACAGAAGAAGGGGCACCAGATGGCACATAAAGATTCCATGAGGCACGTACATTACATAAAGACCCCGTAAAATTTGTATGACACAAATGTCACAACTAATCTAATTATATCACCGACACAATTGCTCAGAAATTTAATCATAGGGATTCCTAAAATTCTTCAAGAGGTTAGGAATGTCATAAGCTAGCATGTCATCAACTGCTTGTATCATTTTCGGTTTCAGTTTTTCAAACTTATCAATATTGTAACCACTCAAGGTCTCTCTAAAATGCTCTACATTTGGGAAATCACCAGGAGGTAAATGGAACTCCCTCTGCACCTGTTGAATTTGTCATTCATATGTATATATTTTAAGTGTTGTTAGAGATAAGCAGAATGGATGTAGAGTCATACAGTCAGATTCATACCTTTCCAAATTCCCCTGCCAAATTATCAACGAGCTTTTGTTGAGCTTTAGCTTTACCTATCATTGCAGGCATTTCCTTTTTAAGATGACTGATAATATAAGCATGTATCTTGGCTGCTCGGGCCCGTTTTACAAACTCATTGATCTACAACAGTCAATAATATATTAAAATATGGTAAATTAATTATGCAAAAAATAGCTTTAATAAATTAAATACAAACCAGATACTGAATTTGAAGCTATGAGATAGCTGCCTATAAAAAGCAACAATAGGACTTATACCGCGGGAAAAAAATTCTTTTGTATCAAATGTGTATGGACAAAATGACCTTAAAAGAGCTGATAACAGTAGTTTTTTTTTTCTTCTTTTTTTGAATTTTATTGGGAAAAACCCAAGTTCCACATCGATTATAAATTAGGCAATTAAATAGTATATAAGTGGAAAACAACCCTTACCTTACAAGTCGGTTTTGTAAGTTGAGTTAGGCTTAATCCACTATTCTAAGATGGTATTAGAGCTATCCTAAATTCTTAAAAATGGGTCACCCACCATTCATTGATACATGCACCATGGGCATGAGGAGGTGTATTCAAGTCCCACCATTAAAAAAGGGTCACCTACCATTCATTGATACATGCACCATGGGCATGAGGAGGTGTATTCAAGTCCCGCCAATCCTAGATCATTAAAAAAGAGCCACCTACCATTTATTCACGTACCAAGCCCAATAGTGCTGGACGTGAGGGGGGTGTATTGGGAAAAACCCAAGTCCCACATTGACTAGAGATTAGGCAATTAAATAATATATAAGTGGAAAACAATCCTCACCTTACAAGCCGGTTTTGTAAGGTTGAGTTAGGCTTAATCCACTATTCTAAGAAATTTTACTAAAGAAAAAACAATCTATTATAAAGGCTGACTTCCTTTTAGTTTCACCATATCTACTGAACCAGTCATCTTTAATCTTAATAATTTATTTGCTAACCCATGAAAGTATAGGGACCTGTTTGTTTTTTTCTTTATAAAAACTCTTTTCTGATTTAAAAAACAAAAATAGATTTTTGAGAAGAACAGTTTTTCGAAAACTATTTTTAAAACTAGTGCCTCTTTTTAGTTCTTAAAAGGAAAAAATAAAAAATAGAACATCTTTAAGTTGTTTTAATTTTTCACTTCAGTTTTGTATTACTCTAGTTCTTTCTTGCACTTTCTTATTTTCTTCCCCTACTACTATCAAAACTACTATCAAAAAATTAGTTTTTGAAAAATATTTTATAAAATAGGCTTTTAAAAACTAAAAAACAAAAACACAACCAAACACACCTTTAGTAAACCTCATTTTAGTGTAAAACTATTTTTAAGATAAATAAAATAAATTTTGTTAAATAAATAGCTCACTCTTCGATCACAAGCCGCTTTTGGTACATCTTTCAGATCCGAAAGAAGATCATCCTGTTCCTTTTCAAAGAGTTCTTTACCAATTGGACCAGTGACAGCATCATTCACAGGCTTGTCATTGAAGGACCTGCCAAAAGTTGATTATGAGCAAAAGAGCACATGGAAATCTCAAAAACAAGGAAACGATATACAGTTATGTCATGTCTAAATTGCATAGAACATGGGCAAGGGGGTGTGGAAGAAATCTGCCACTGCAAAAATGACATTTACGCAATACAACTTCATATGATTGTCGAAACAAAGCATTCTCTCTGCAAGTCTCCATGACAAAGACAACACTTGTGAACATTGAGAATAGAGTATGAATACAAATATGAAGTGACATACCCAATATACACGCGCATCACTTCAGGTGTCTTCAGCACCTTTCCAAGTGACCACATTAAGGCTCCATAAACCCTCATCAGCTGCAACATAGGACAAAAAATAGGTTAAATTTCAGCAGACCATGTTGTGAAACATTCATTAAATAAACAAACAGAAGTTTGACTATGAAATCTTACTTGTTGGGTGTCAACTTGATCTGCCTTATTCAAAACCACTCGAATTTTGTCATCATGTCCCCGTAAAGATGATATCACACGATTGAACTCATCACTAATATCAAGTTTGTGAGGATCAAACAGCAAGAGTATTAAATCACACTTAGCAGCAAACCAAGATGTTACACCCGTAAAATCATATGCTCGTTGTGTCCGTTGCTTTTCTCCAGATAGAACTCCAGGAGTGTCGACAAATGTGATGTGTTCCAATAGCTTTGGACAATTGAAAAATAGTCAAGACCATATGCCATAAAAGAAAATCTTGTAAACTTTTGAACTGATTTATATCAACTTACTGGATGAGGCATTTGTGAACATGCAAATTTTGACAAAAATGCTGTGCCAAAAGTTGTAAGACCACTAAATGGCATGTCTGCTTGGACAGCAACTGTATTTCCAGGAACGGTTCTTTCATCAGTTCCAGACTGTACATCAGCAGAATTTGCTAGTTAAAAGTTAAAAATGCAATAACTCATTTTCCAAGATGACTACAAGATAGATTAAAGAATTCAAACCATAAAATCTTGGCACTAATGCTATGCTACAAATTATTGACTTCCATTGCCATGCTTTAGAACTTTCATGCTATGAAGCAGACACCCAAACATAGGGCAATGTCCAAAATATAGGACAAAAGACACAGCATCATCTATATTTTATACTAATATATAAAAGAGATACTACTTTCAAAAACTGTTTTTGGTTTCAACATGTTGCTGGACCATTGCAAAACTCAATTATTAAGAAAAATATTTAGAAAATCAATAATTTTTTTTTAGTAACTACCATCTTCTTTCATATACAATTAGAAACCAAAGAAAACTATAACTCTCTTAATAACCCACCCAGTTCAATATCTTTCTTTTTACTTTATTTTGATTTTTTAAAAATGTTAATAGACATGAAGTGCCTCTTTTCCCTTGGTATATATAATGTATGTGTGAGAATGAGCTTTTGCTAGTCAAATGAAATTTAAAATTAAAAATGAATAACATTAAAATATTTTTTTGTCAAAAACAGAAAATTAAAATAATTAAATTGACAATCTGAATTTATATATTCACCCTCTCAAAATAACTTACTAAGCTTTACTTATGCCGTATTATAATGAGACCCATGAAAAAATACCAAGAGGCATCATTTTACATTTTCCCCAGAGAAGCTTCTTTTAGCATTTTGTATCTTTTAAATATTTTCATATTACTCTTTATATTTTAAGTTCTTTTCTAAAGGTTAATTTTTTTTATTAAAAAACATTTTTTTATAATTTTTTAAATAGTCCTGTTTTCTGAAGTCTCAACCCAAATTTAGGCGTCAGTTGAGTGACCAAACCATGTCTGACATAAGTTCATGCTGTCAAAAAATATATTTTATAATTATGCCACAGTTTACTAGTTTCCAACACATGGCATACAAGTGTCTAAGGAGTGGCTAGTGTTGGAAGTATGACGACACTCCAGCACTGCAAGAAATAGCAGTGCTGTTGCTTCATAGCTTCCACCAAGATGTTGAGTCTGGCCAAAAATTAGAATTCAAATGATTTATAAGTTTAAAAATTAAAACTGAGAAAATATTGAAGGTATTGAAGAGTCGTGGGAGAGAAACAGGTTTGGCTGAAACATACCATGACAACAACAAACCTATCAGTTGTAGGCTCAGGTCCAATATGTGCTCCTATCAATAGTTAGAAGGAAAACAAGAAAAAGATTAGTAACACATTTATAAAAAGTAATATTATATCCTCCCATTAATCATCCTAAAATTTTACAAAATAAAATATTAGAAGGATTAGTAGAAAGATGTTGTTGGAGGATTTAAAATTATTTATTTATAAAACAGAAATAGGTAGTGCGAGGTAAACAAATATGGATAAAGAGAAAAGAGAATCACGTGCCTGGATAGCTACTTTTAAGTAGATGTTTGATAAATGTTGTTTTACCAGTTGAGTACTGACCCAAAAGCATAACCATTGGTTTGGCATCAAAGTCACTCTCTGTCTAAAAATGTATAGAATTAAAATTAATAAAGAAACTAATTGTGCATCTTTGTCCATATTTAAAGCACAGTAATATATGACAACATTAAGAATGGTGACAGTAAATCTAGAGTAGTTAGTCATTTCTAAACAGAATCACTTACTAACCAGTAATGGGGATACAAAATCATTAAAGCGGTAAGTAACTTCTAAAGGCTTCAACTTCTGAATATAAAGCCCCTTCAAGCCGTCAATTATTGATGTCACAGAGGAAAGCGACACCTATGGACATATGTACCACAAACACAAATAAAATACCTATAAAAACAAATTTGACAATTTTAAAGAACTAGCAATAGTAAAGAAGTATCCAACACACATGAAAGATCCTAGAGAAAATATCTTTAGGATGACCTTTAGATCGTGTTTGGAGAAGCATATGACTAGCTTATAAGTTCCTTTGAGTAACTTATAAGTTAGTTTGACCAAAATAAACTTGTTTGGTAACCGAACTAATTTTAGGAGCTTATAGCTTATTTTCATAAACTTGAAGTAGTTTATAACTTATAAGCTCTCAGCTTTTTTTTTTTCTTTCCTTTTTTATCTCCATTAGGCATTAATTTACTTGATGCCATTTTTTACCCTTTTTACTTTAGAAATCATTTTGTTTACATATTATTCTCCAAGTCTCATTATTAAATAAATAAATGACATTTTACATTTATCAACTAGCTTATCAGTTAATTTAACCAAAGACTTTCAATTCAATTAATTAACTCATAAGCTTCCAGCTTTTCAGCTCCTAGTTTATAAGCTTTCCGCTAGCTTATTTAAACTTCTAGTCAGCTTATAAGCTAATTTTACCAGACACATCCTTAGGGTAATGCTAACTTGACTCATATATAATAACGAAGTCTAAATTAGATCGCCACAAGACAAAATGCAGTTTGTTAAGCCAAAAAGAAGAAACTGAGGTTGTGTGAAATGCACATTGTGTGATTTGGTTTGTCATAGGATTTGATGTAATTAGAATCTGTTGTATTTATTTCCTCCTTTCCAATTTTAGATATAGCATTTATAGGAAAGATTATATCAATATATTCAGGCAGAATACTTCCTAATATTTAGGTAGATTATTCCCTGACATTCAGGCGGATTATTCCCTCATATTCAGACCTAGATTGGTGCAGTGAATTAATTTTTTATTTCTTTTTATACCTCTTCATTGTAGCAATTTCAAATTAGTGAAAAATATTCACCTTTTCCGCATAATAATTACCTAAACACACTTGTTTCATCATCTTATAAAAGACATGAAGAGAGAGAGCAACCAAACCAAAAGAACCTATAGTAGGTAAAGATAAAAGAATGTAAATCAAGTTGGTCATTAGTTGAAAATTTGAAATGAATATTCAGTATGTTTTGTAGTGGAAGGTAAGGATAATGCACACAAAATCAAAGTAACAGTAACAAAATGCTTGCCTTTTTGGTTGACTTTGAAGAAAACCAATTACTTGATAGTGGTTGGTGCAATTGAGGACTACCTGCATTATTGCCAATTACTGAACTAGGATTTTCAAGAGAAAATAAGAAATAAAGAAAATAAAATCCAAATGAATGACCATATTTAGTAGAATGACGAATATATTACCATTTGCATCAACATCTTTTTGTTTATGCTTTTTCTTCTGGGTAAAGAAAGTCAAGTGGTCAGCACGTTCACTAAATAAGCATAAAAATGTTAACACTAAAAAAATAAACCTTAAAAAGGAATACTTACAAGTAATATGTCCAAACCGTCCATTGTGGGAGGTTTCAAATTTCTAAAATCAACTGAAATAAAAGTTAAGCTTCAATTAGGTTAAATCTATAGGAAGACATTCACGATCAACACATACAGAAAGGCATAGCACCAAGAATGTGCATTGCAGACTAATACAATTATAAAAAGTTATTCAAACGAATTAACAGAAGACCAACCAAAACATACATATCTTACCATCACTAGTCAGCAGATCTTGTGTTATTGAGTGCCCAGATTGTGCCAAAGAAACTAGCTACATTTCAAATGCGCGAGAATTTGGAAATTTATCAGCATTAAAAAAAAAAAAAAAAAAAAAGCATAACATATTTGTACCTGCATAGCAATGATAAATTCAGTGAAACCAAGATATCCTTGTCGCTTTGAATCAGCAATAGACCACACCTTATTTTTTTGGTGGGAACAGGCGCAAAAAAAGAAACACTTTAGTTAACAAGAAAGACATAAGGCAAAAGGGATACTTATCAGCTAGTACAACTTATATCAACAACAAAACAGTGACTGCCTAAACCATTACAGTTGTTAGAGATAAAACCATATCAAAGCCGACTTTCTATATGAGGAAAATCACGAGTTTAAAATTAGTCCATTATCAGTATACATGAAACAATAAAGTGTCATATCATAAGTGTAATTAAAATAGTTTCAAAAGGTCTTTTAAATAGTTAACGCTATAGTTCAATAACAGTATAAAATCCACTATATGAACAATGCATCAGATATTAATCTGAATAGCAGAAATAAAACAAATTCAGGTACTAGATAGTCAATGAGGCATTCTACAAATCAAAGGAGAAGCTGATTCAAGACCAACAACTAAGTTTTGATTTAGCAGAGTGAAAATGGAGAGGAGTTTAAAATAGGAAGGACTGGAGGAAGTTCAAAGTTCACCAGAGTGACCTCCATAGCCAAGGCAGACAACAAATAAAAATTGAAAGCAAAAAACATTTTGTTATTTATTGTTTGAAATGAATGAAATTATGAAGAAACATAAAACCAAACTTAGCCAACTTGTAAAAGCATGTAATCTCAGTTTCATCTCTTTTACAATTGCATGTAGACTCCAATTTCACCTTATTTTATTTTATTAACAAGGAAAACCAAAAAAATACAAAAAAAAAAAGGGAGAGGACATGATAATAATTCCTGACTTTTATCACTTTTCTCTCTATCCCCTAACCAAGCAATCATATCTTACAACTTCGGCTCATGATGCCGATTACCTCCAATTCCTATCTACATTCATTAGTGTTCCAATGCAAAAGAACGATAATAAAGAAAAACGGGAAATAAAAAACCTGCTTAAGATCTTGGCGAGACAAATTGGACATGGCGAAAAACTTGGTGGCATCACTCCCCGTAATGCGGCCATCGTTATCTGAAAAAACGAAGTGCACGGTAAGATTTTTTTAGTGGAGCAGAAAACATAAAATTCAGATAGAGAAGAAGAAAAAAAAAAAAAAAAGCGAAAAAAAATCACTGAAAAATATGCTGTGCTATACCTGAATCAGCGATATTGAACCAGTCCTTATAGATCGTCTGGTGTTCTTTGGAGCACGAACCGACTGGGATCGGGTCGAACTCCATTGGTCGCAGAAAAGCTTCGAAATCGCGTGATTGAGATCTCGTAGCGTTTGGGATGATGCTGTGCTTTTTTATTTATTTTTACTTTTCAGTGAAAAGAAAACGTGAGTGCTAAACGACGAGGAGGACTTGCACTAGCCGTGTCGTATTGGCGATGGAAACTAACCAGTGTTGGCGCAGAAACGCTGCTTTAACGAACATTGCTTGTTTCGTTTACCAAACAGTGTGAAGTAAAGTTGCGAGCAAGTATCTTCTAAATGCGCCAAATACGCTCTTTGCTTTGCTTTGCTTGCTGATTCAGATTCTCATGTCAACTTACCATCAAAATGGCTGTTAATGTCACCGCTCTTTATTTTAATCAATCTTGTTACGATTTAATTTTTTATTTATTAATTTGACTATTTGGAGGATAATTCTTTTACAATTGATATTTCTGTCTCCTGAGTCGTTTTTTTTCCTCCTTTTTTTTATATTTTATGAATCTTCTAATAAATGATTAATGTTTAAAAGCATTAAAAAGTATTTACAATTTTCGACATTTAACAAATAGAAAATTTATTAGAAAGATTTTTAAGAGATATTAAAAGTGTTCATTTTTTATATTTGTATCCACGCGCTTGCCGTCATAATAAATAACGTAAGGTTATTTTTGAAAAAAAAAATAGCAGGATGTTTTTTTTATCCGTAGCATAATATTATTCATAATCTATTTTTTTTATTATGATTATTTATTATTTATAATGTATCCATAACTATTAAAATGGCGATATTCGTTTATTTTCAAATTTTGAATTATTTATTTAATCACCTAATATTATATATCATTATTTTGTTTAAATAAATACATTAATTATAATGCATATTTAAATATTCGTCAAATACATAAATAAATTAAATATTCAATAAATGGAGTAATCTTTGTTATCTCGTCATTAAAAAAAAAACTCATTTTTAAATTTTATTGTTTATATGTGGTAAAATATACATTGATGTATTTTATTTTTAATAATAATAAAAGTCACAATATAACAATGCGACAATATTTAACTTCCCGATATGTTAACTTAAACAATGTAAACATCATGCATATTTGCAACGTTCACATCTTTATTTAAATACCATAAAAAATTAACTTAAGACAACATAAAATAACTCACAACTTAAATAATCAACTTTACATTATATAACTCATTCACCATCAATCAACTATAACACAATATTAAATAACAACTTTTTATCATACGACTTGCGCCCGATGCCACTCATTGGACGCTGACATCATTAAGGTAAATAACTCATTGTCTCACTCACGTTTGATGTTACACTACTTACACCCGGTGTGATTGAGGTAGAGAGTGTCCTTAGTCTCGCGCCTGACGTGACAACACCCACGCTCAACCCCAATCAAGGAGAGCTATCTGTCTAACTCATGGCCAACGTCACTTCACCAACGCTCGACGTGATCCTAAATAGAGACCATCCATTCATCTCATGTTTGACGTCATTCAACCCGCGTTCGACGTAATTTCAACTTGAGACGACTCATTTTTCTCATGCTTGGTGTCACGAATCCTACACTTAACATGAGTGAGATAGAGACCTCTTTTTGGAACTACATCCAACGCCTTAAAGGCACATCCGGTGCGATATCAATTATTACACTTTTGCAGAATCTGATTTCATCAAATCTACCTGAAATTACAAAACTCCAACAACATGCGACCCACTAAACAACGTATATGCAACATAAAATAACATGAATTAGTCATAAAAAAACAACATACAATAACTACCAAACCATAATCAATTCAATCTGTTCCACTTCTCTTTAAAGTCACAAAACCCTTTCAATTTCATCATTTAATCATTCCACACCTTCAACCAATTGATTTCCAATCATCACAAGCACAAAAATGCATACCCAAATTCAAAACCTCAACTTCCCTTACCTCTTAGAGAAAATCTACAAAGAAGAAAAGAAGAGAAACGGCTACGCACACCACTAGCTTGAGGTTTCTAACTTGGAGTTCGAATTCTTCACCACCTCTTAGAATCAACTGAGAAAGGAAGAAAATGAAAGGTTTCTCAGAAGGAATGAGAAGAAAAAAAGATTTGAGTTCTTTAACTTTTCTCTAGAATTTTAGAAAATATGAATTATGAGTTTTTTTTTAATTTTTTTTTAAATATTTTTTCAAGTCGATTTTACTTATTTTTAATCTAACCGATCAATATATCTTTAGCAAAGTATATCTAATTTATATTTGATTTATTAAAGTTACCTTTTTTTATAATTACTTTATCATACTTTAATATTATTAATTGATGAAATATTATTATTATTATTATATATTTTTTCATGGTTGTAAGGGAAGTATATCTATTAAGTATTAATTATATTTTTCACTCAAATTACTCGATTAAGACTCTTATACTTGAAGACAATTATCATATATCTTCAATTTCATTATTCATTTTATATCTAATTTATTAAAATAACATTCTTTTACATGATTAATTTATTTTTTTTATCATTATTATTTCTAACAAATATTTATTATTTATGTATTTATATTTTTCGGCAGTGAACAAAAATATATATAAAATGTATTTATATTCTTGTACACAGTCCTCTATATATTTTAGGTCTTATCGGTTTCAATAAATAATTGGATGAAATTTTTAAGATAAACTCTTCCCTTATTCACCTCTCTATAAGACGTGGTTTTTTTTTTTTTTTTTTTTTTTTATGTTGAAAACAATTGGCAATAGAATACTTATAGGATCAATAACCTCTCTAATTCTCCAGTGTGAGCACTCTGTTTTCATTTCTCTAATTCCTCGTAATCTCTTCTTCCTCCACCTTCGCCAACTCTTGTTCTTTTCCATTCAATTTGTTCTTCATTCTCTCAGCGATGTTCGTCCACAAGGTTTTGTCCCGTGTCTCCAAAACCATTGTCGGAACCTCGCTCCTCTCTGCTTCGCAAAGACCCCAACACTTGTTCACCCGCTCCAATCACTTACATTCCCTCCTTCCTCAATCACCCAACAAGGTGCTCTCCCATATCCCAATATTTTTTTTCTTCTATTTCCTGCTTTAGGGTTTTGCCAGGGTTTTAGGAATTTGCTTAAAGTTAGGTGGTGGTTACTTCTGTTTTATGCAGCTAGCAGGTTTAACTAGGTTGCTTTAGAGTGTAAGATCTATTTGTTGGTTTTGTACCTTTTTGAGACTAATTATTCTGTTTTACCTATTTCTTTTGAACTCAAATGTTCAGTTTATTTATTTATTTATTTATTTTTATTTATAAATAATAACACTATGAAATGTATTATGTCATTTTGCTTCTGTTGATTTTGATTGTCTATTTTAGTTTGGGTTTTATTAGGCATGATGTTTCTGCTCTATTAGCGAATATTTTGTTATAATTCTTCGTCTATTGTAGCCTTAGTAGGTTAGTGCGTTATTAAAAGAGAATAAAAAGGTTTTAAAAATTGTTTTCTCTTTTCTGGGAATAAGGATTTAATGGTTAACATTTTTTTAAGAAGTCAGTTTTTATAGTCAATTTCAAAAGAGAAAAGTGATTGATGGAAAATCCTTAATCTGATATATATAAGCATAACTTGTAGAACACTGAGCCTGTGCTTTTATCTTACCATGTTATGTCCTGTTCTCTAATCCCCCCCTCATTCTTGATCACTGTCATTTTCTAAAATTATTTTTTTCCTGGAATAAGTGGTTTTAGTTTCCCTTCATATACGAAGGAGCAATGGATCCGCCAAGTTTTTTTTTCTTATGTAAATGATAACAGGAAAATTGATTATATGTGATTATCATTTTCCTATTCTCTGCGACTCAATTATCATCCATAGTTTTTTATCGAGTGAATTTTAGTGATGCATTTTAAAATTCTCATTAAGTTTGGTATATGCTTTCTAATGTTTCAGCTGATTCCTGTTCAAGTCAATGTGTTGCTGCCACCAATAAATTCATTATCAACTCCAAGATTTGGGTTTTGTTCATCAGCTTCAACTGAAACTAATGACAAGGAAAAAGGGAATAATGTGCGTAATGGAGATTCTACAAATGATGACCCTGCAAGAGCAAATGAGGAGGCAAAGAATATTGATCAGGCTAAACAAACTAAACCTGCAGATAAAACTGAGGAATCAGGTTCTATTCCGGATTCTCAATCTCAAACTGGCAAAAGGAAGAGAGGTTTTAAACGAACAGCATTTTCTGATTCAGATTCAGATTCAGATTCAGAGAGTGAGTGCGACCTATCCAGGGATGATTTAATTAAACTTCTGGCTGAGAAGGAAGAACTTGTAAAATCAAAGCACAAGGAGATTGAGAAAATGCAGGATAAAGTTCTACGTACTTATGCAGAGATGGAGAATGTCATGGAAAGGACTAGACGTGAAGCAGATAATTCTAAAAAATTTGCTATACAGGTCTAAGTTTGAACCCTTTTGTCCCAAATAATTTCCTCTTCGACTGTGTGCTGAGTGGTTTAAATATGCTGTAGAATTTTGCAAAGAGTTTACTAGATGTTGCGGACAATTTGGGAAGAGCGTCCTCAGTTGTAAAGGAAAGTTTTTCAAAAATTGATACGGCTAATGACTCTGCTGAAGCCGTAAAACTCCTGCAAACACTTCTGCAAGGTGTTGAAATGACCGAGAAACAATTGTCAGAGGTAGAATGTTCTACTTTATTTTGTATTTGTTTACCTTTAAAAGTCATAGCTAACCTATTATTCAATCTTTTCTTTCTTTTCACATTTTGTAGTCCAGGTGTATTCCCTCTTTCTTTTCAGCTATGTCATTTCTTCATTTATATAAGTTTGTTTAGTAGAGACAGTGGTGTGACGGTTAACGGGGTGAATGTGAAGAGACTAGGAGAGGAGGCTTTAGGCTCAAATTTGTGGATGTGGTTGTTCAGGTGCTGTTAGATTAGGGGCTTGTTTTTATTTCTGTTTTGAGTGGCCAATTTAATTTTTAAAAATCATGAACTTGTTGGAAATTATTTTCTTATTCCAATTTCTTTAAATTATTTCCTTAATTGTTATTTAAAAAAAGTTTTTTTTTTTTTGGTAGTGAAAACATTTAATTTTGCCGTGGCTAGTTTGTAAATAGCATATTTAGGCCCTGTTTGGGGTGGTTTTTTGTTTGAGGTTTTTAAATATATAAAAAACAAAACTAGTTTTCAGTGTTTGTCATAGTTTTAAATATTTTGTTTTGAACTTTCTTATTGATGAAAACATTAAACTGAGTCGTGCATGATTAAAAGGTGAGTAGTCTTTGAACCATCTACCTTTCTCCACATCTGGATGGAAAAAAATTAATTTTTACATTGAAATCGTTTGCTCCAGTGCATCATTTGTACCGTCATCCTGCTCCCCATTCTTCTTGTTATCTTTCTGATCTAGACTAGAGCTGTTGAATTCCAAATTTGTTATTGCTTCCGCAAAATATAAAGACCAAGGATTTAGCCAACAAAGTATTAGTTTTTGACACCATTTGATCTGACAGCTCAAGCCGATCCTCCAAGTGTACTAACTAATTAAAACTCCAATGATTCGCATGATCTCTTTCCCATTCTTATAAATAAAACCCGAAGCCCTCTCACTATTTCATGGAATTCGAGGTTCTGTTCCCCACCCACCTGCCCTCAAGGGGTTGGTGTCTCCGCAGAGAGAGGGTTGTCAGGGAAAGAGGG